TTGACTATGATTGTGTGAGAAAGCTTTGAAAACTGTCGAGTTGACCCTTTCCCATGAGGAGCTGACCCAGAGGTAATCCGGACACTGAAAAGACTAGTGATTAAACTGCATTCGGACAGTTAACATTGGATGTATCATGTGTTTGGTGCTTAAAATATAAAAGAATATTAGTGAGAAATATAAACAAGCAGTTATTACGATTGAAAGAAGGAAAAAAAATATATGAAAAAAATTAAAACAAAAAAGTGTGCTTTTATTGGGACGCAGTTAACCTGAAGTGTGAAAAAAATAGAAAATGATTTTTTTTTATTCTTAGTGGCTACACTTCAGCTACCATTGCATCAGCAGCGTGATTTTATATAGACATTTGCACGCTTTTTTTAATAGCTTCACAAATATCCAAGGACCAAGTGAGGTAGAGAGAAACCCAAGAATATTGGCGTAGTTTTTTATATGTATAACAAATCGAGTGATTTCACAGTGCTATAAGTAGGTTTTATATTGAATGAATGTCTATATGTTTATGCGTTGTGTGTAAACAATATTGTGTGCTGCAAAGTTGTATAATTTTTGAATAATCATCTATTCAAGTTATTCACGTTTTCCTCTTCTGTTGTTTTTTTTTTTGTTTGTTTGTTTTATCACTCGTTTTCCACTTCCTGTTCTTTCTTTTTTGTTAGTTTCCCACCTTTTTTTTTAGTTATGTCCTTCCTTTATTATTTTCCTACTCTTCTGTTTTATTTTTTTTCCTGTGCATGATGGTGGCATACAGTAACTATAGTTTGATGGTTGTTTGTGCAGACTGTAGTGAGACTTTGAGTGCTTATAAGAGAATGCTAAAAAGAATAATAAGTGTATTTGTTGTTTATGCACTTTTATCAACATTGCATTATCCGTAATATTATTTTTTTGTGGAAGTAACTGACAAGTCTTTTTTTCCGTTTATTATATAGTATTTATATACCATTTGTAAAAAATAAAGCTATGCGTGGTTCTCATTGAAAGAAAAAAAAACACAAAAAAGTGTAAACTTGACTAATCACACGTAGACAGTTTTTTATATTATTTTTGGTTTTTGAATAGACTGGAGACATTGGAATCGACGAAAAAAAACGTAGACCGTTCTAAGAATATGTATATAGAAAGAATGACAGACTCCAGCACTGACCGAAAGAAAGAAGAAGAAGAAGGAGGAGGAGGAGGAGGAGGAGGAGGAGGAGGAGCAGGAAGAAGATGAAAGGAAAAGAGAATAGAAGACAATAGTGCTTTAGTAATGACAACGGGACGAAGGACAGTACAGGAAGGTTCTTGTAGGAGGCATTCTTAAAGAGCATAATCGAGACAGCAAAGAAGACGAAAGAGAGAGAAAGAGAGAGACAGAGAGAGAAAAGAGAGGCATAGCTTGGAGAATGTCTGGTATGTGTCGTAAAGAAAGGGACGTTGACGATCTTCTTCTGTTTCTTCGCCCCACTTCGATGCAGCACTTTCTTGGCCCCAGGTCATCGGCGTGGGAAAGGAAGGGAAAGGGATTTTTTTTTAATGGAATGGGGTAAAGGGGGGAGGGGGAGGGGGGGGGAATGGACGGGAGTAAGTTTGTGAAGAAGATGGATATTTTGGCTTCGGATTCGCGAGCTTTGGGAATGGAGAAGCATTGATGAGGATAAAGATAAAATGTCTTGGATATTCGAGTGAGAGTTGATGGAGACGCTGATGGCCTAGCGTCACTGAAGTGTTTGTTATATTTTATTTTATTCTGACGAGAAATGGACGCGATGTGGAGTGGAGCCTATATTTTTTCCTGCTTTATATGCTCTCGGCACGGTGGAACCTGGGAAATCCTTTATCAAAAGGCTAATATAGACGAGTGATTTATTCCTAACGAACACAACAACGCGGTCTCAAAGAGAGTGACATTGCAAACTTTCCATAGAGATCAAAAAGAAAAGGGAGCGTGGGAAAGATAAACCAGTATATATAACACTTATTGTCACCTTCACCCCCTCCTCTCTCTCCCCCCCACCCCCCCTTGCAACACCTAGCAACCGAAGAGGAATTCTAGGGATCCACCACGTATTTTCATCACAGTACATAAATGTTCCACACCAAAGTTCACACATTTTTATATAATATAGTTTATGTATATTTTCTTTGAACCAGTGATTTTTTTTTTCTCTTCTCCCATTTTTTATAGACATGTACACCTCAGGAATTTATAAGTAAGTGACCAGCATTGCCCTTCAGTGTACCATTGTTTTCAAACTTGCATCATTTCAAATTGGTTGCCACCCAAGCAGGTTGGCAGCCCGGCCGTAGGGGAAGGGGGGCGATCACCCCTCCCCCCCTCCGCCACAAGTCAGTGATCTAGTTTTATAATTAAATGTATATGAAACCAGTGGCTGTGTTTTATTTGATTTACCCCCTAACTCATTTTTTTGTGATTGGATGGAGTGTCGGAGAGGCATAGGAAATTCTGGAGTACTTTTTTTTTTTCCTTTTCTTT